ATCTCTTAGTTGAGATATGTGACACATATATATATATATATATATATATATATATATATATATATATATATATATATATATATATACACACACACAACTAACTACAAAATATTGTACCCCTTAGGGTAGTCTACAAAATACAAACATTTCCAGCTCTCGCCACTAGGTGGCCTCTATCTTTAAGATGGCAGCCTATCCTTGCCCTGCTCCTATACAATATATGATCATTGCAGTCCAAATCACATGAAAACATGCAAGGGTAAATTAGGTAAAATAAACAACATATAATATATATACAACATAGCAACTTATGGTTCATCATCATTACATTCAACGCGAACAACAAACAACTTCTATATTACTCACATTTTCTACAACTTACAACACATCTTCATATAACAACACATTATCATCACATCAACATATATTCAACTCATTAGCACATATGCATCGTCACGCATTTCAACTTGGAGATCTCCTATAACACAAGGTGAGTAGTCTAAGTGACTAAGTCCTATCGAACTGACAACATAACTTTTTTGAGCTTTCTTGGTAAACAACAAATTTGGATAAAAATTCACCACACGATAATAATTTCTCAGACTTTGCCACTTAAACAAGGAAGTATAGTACTATGTCAGGATAGGACAACTGGGTTTAGGCCTACCACGACATTAGCTAGCTTAACTATGCCACCTATGAGATTATCCTATTAACTATCCTTTAAATGCTACAACCCTTTGATACTCGATTAGAAACAAAGTTTCTGACTTCGTACTTTACTCAAATTAGTTGCTTGTAATTGGTATAGCTCGACCTAACCCCTATATCGTGGTTGCTTCATACATGTGTGTCTCGACCTTGTCCACACACGGGACCAACTAAGTCCTAGAGGAGAACAAAAAAACATCTACTCCAAAGGACAACTTCTCAAGGAGGGTTTTTCAACAAATTGGGTTCTCAAAGCACCACAACTATCTCAATCCACATAATGGGATGAGCAACTTCGAAAACATATTCCCTAATCCTAATTATCAACAACTCATGATCACAGCTCAACCAACACAACTCAGTAGCACTATTCAGCTCAACAACTAAAAATAACAACATAATAGCTCATTATGTTTTTCAGCACAACAACTCAGTCAACGCACAACTTTTCAACTCATATCATCTCTACACATATACTCAACTTCACAACTCGTTTACAACACTATGTTCAACATGCATCTCAACATCTCACAACTCAATCATCACTACTCATTCAACTTTAAACAACACAGTTAACTCAACAACTCAACTCACAACTTACAACTCAACCATCACAAAGTAACATCTCTTCAACACATAGTACAACATACAACTTTATAACAACATACAACTCTCATCTAACAACTTAGCAACATTATCATCATGCACTTCACAACTGTCAACTATAGCATCTCATTATATTTCACAACATATATATAGTTAACACACAACATATAACAACTTTAACAACTTAATTTCAACATGTTTCAACAATATCATTTTTTCAACATAAAATTGATCAACACACAACTCATAAACAACTTCAACAACATGCAATATGTTCAACACATAATGCTCCTCATTATACCGCATCTCTACAACTTATTCAACATCATTTAATCATAATACAATTCAAACAACAAGCTTTCAACATACAACTCATCAATCATGTAAGCAACCAACTTAATTAGAAAAGAAATTTATTAAACTAAGTCCCCACGCTTAGTGTAGAAACTCACGCTCAACCTCAGCCTTCTAGAGGCACAATTCAGCTCTCACGTTAAGTATATAATTCCATGCTCAGTGTCAACCTTCCAAAGGCACA